TATTATTTGTATCTATTAATTGTTAAATGTTGACCGTGCACTTGCGGTGTAACAATATCCACTACCCAATATCGTCCCGTCAGTGTCGTAAGAGGCGACAGAGAGAAACTTAAACCGTAATGGCGTGGTAGAAGCATATTTCTATAATTATTATTTGTATCTATTAATTGTTAAATGTTGACCGTGCACTTGCGGTGTGACAATATCCACTACCCAATATCGTCCCGTCAGTGTCGTAAGAGGCGACAGAGGGAAACTTAAACCGTAGATGGCGTGGTAGCAGCATATTTCTATAATTATTATTTGTATCTATTAATTGTTAAATGTTGACCGTGCACTTGCGGTGTGACAATATCCACTACCCAATATCGTCCCGTCAGTGTCGTAAGAGGCGACAGAGGGAAACTTAAACCGTAGATGGCGTGGTAGCAGCATATTTCTATAATTATTATTTGTATCTATTAACTGTTAAATGTTGACCGTGCACTTGCGGTGTGACAATATCCACTACCCAATATCGTCCCGTCAGTGTCGTAAGAGGCGACAGAGGAAAACTTAAACCGTAGATGGCGTGGTAGCAGCATATTTCTATAATTATTATTTGTATCTATTAATTGTTAAATGTTGACCGTGCACTTGCGGTGTGACAATATCCACTACCCAATATCGTCCCGTCAGTGTCGTAAGAGGCGACAGAGGGAAACTTAAACCGTAGATGGCGTGGTAGCAGCATATTTCTATAATTATTATTTGTATCTATTAATTGTTAAATGTTGACCGTGCACTTGCGGTGTGACAATATCCACTACCCAATATCGTCCCGTCAGTGTCGTAAGAGGCGACAGAGGGAAACTTAAACCGTAGATGGCGTGGTAGCAGCATATTTCTATAATTATTATTTGTATCTATTAATTGTTAAATGTTGACCGTGCACTTGCGGTGTGACAATATCCACTACCCAATATCGTCCCGTCAGTGTCGTAAGAGGCGACAGAGGGAAACTTAAACCGTAGATGGCGTGGTAGCAGCATATTTCTATAATTATTATTTGTATCTATTAATTGTTAAATGTTGACCGTGCACTTGCGGTGTGACAATATCCACTACCCAATATCGTCCCGTCAGTGTCGTAAGAGGCGACAGAGGGAAACTTAAACCGTAGATGGCGTGGTAGCAGTATATTTCTGATAATAACTCAAAATATTAAATAACTTCGTTTTCCAACCCGCATGTAAAACGTGGCAACTATGGCGAAATCCTCCCTATGAAGCAATATATCGGAGTGCATAAATTGTTAAAAATGTAATGGTTTAAAAATATTGATTTTTAAACCATTATATATTTAATAATACGTTATTAGAACCCATGTAATACATGTGACGATATTTTAAATGAATAAGTTATTAAGAAATATAATTTCTTTATTTTTGAAAAGTTTGATTTTGAATACAAAAAAGATATATTTATTATACTATTATAAATTTCATGTTAATTAAAGAAAATTTTTACAAAATGATTTGCTAAGGGTACGCTTGTTATTTTTGTTTAAATACATATATTTTTGATTTTACCGTGAATTTATTATCAGCTTAGTTTTATAAAAAAAACTGCTCTTATTGATTTATTTAAGTACATCAAAGATTGTTGCACCAATGCAGAAATAATATGGGCACATCAACTTAGATATTAATTGCAAAATCAATTTAAAGTATACACATACGGCGATACAGTACAATATCGTGATACCAAATACGTAAAATGCACTCTTAATGTTTTCCCATTCGTTCATCAAACTACAGTTTATCCATTCAAAAATGCCAACTCCTAAGATACACAAACTGGTAGCTCTCCGTTTTATCATCATCATGACAGTTCTACAAAAAGTCCACTGCTAAACATTCCCCCAAGGAATGCCACATGAAACAGTCCTGAGTTGTATACAATTATTGACTTCCTGCATGTCTTAGCTGTTCTTGACTCTGGGGGACCATCCTACACTTCCAAACCAGACAACAGCTGGCCAAGAGAAACTAGGTTTAATATTATTTTTATCTGGATGCTAGTACCTCAAACCGTTGCGAGAAATAGGATTTTGACACGAACTGACAGACGGAAAACAAAGTGATACTATAAAGATTCCTTTTGCCATAAGTTACAAAAATCTGGAAACGAACATGTTACTGTTCGTACATGATATGTCTAGTGATGATATATGGATCTGAGATGTGGTCATTTACTGCTAGCCATATGGAAGCTCAAGGTCGAACAGCGAGCTATGCAGAGGTCTGTGCTTGGAAATACTCTGCGTAATAGGCTTCGTAATGAAGAATTCCGAAGTAGAACCAGAGTCACTGACGTAGCCTAATGGTTCAGTAAGCAAAAGTGGAAATGGGCTGGACATATGGCTAAAAGAACCGACAATCATAGGGAAAGAAAGATTTTCAAGTGGTAATGTCGTACTGGTAACCGAAGTGCGAGGCAGCCCTCCACTACACGGAGTGACGACCTGGTAAAATAGATAAGATGCAGGAAGTCTGTGTACGTAGGGTCCGGGACTATGAGGACATTCCTTGGGGGAGGCCTATATTGATAAGGACTAATTACGAGTTGTTATGACGACTCTTCCTAGCACAAATATGATATATCGGATATGTAGTATGATATATCGGTTGCGGATTATCGAGGGGGGCGTAAATACCCCCCCCCCCGTTTTTTTTTTAAATACATTGCACTGTGCTTTAGTCGTCCAAGTTAATTGAGCATGGAATAGCCATGTTTTTTTGACGTCGCTAAGCGACGCTATAGCTATAGTATGGCTGCAGCAAGAATGTTTCTACTTGGCCGGGCAAAGATTATACGCTCACAGAATACCAGCGTAAAATAGCACCTTAATGATTCTTTTCATATTGGTCCTCAAGGGTGACAAAGCTTTTTCATTTTTCATTTTAATCGAGAACTGGATATATTGCCACAGTGTTCACCCGCCGTCAAGCCTTTACCATTCTAATATTTATAAAAAAATATTGTCCTATTGGTGTATATTTTTGTGGTCCTGTACCGGTGGTCCAGTGAACACTGTTGGTCTCTAAGGGCACCCGAAGTGGTAGGCGAAAGCAGCAAACAATTCTCTTACATATAGAAAAGTATCAAAAATTCCTGGGGATGATGGAGATGGTGGAGTGTGCAGCTACTGCCGATACGGTTTCTGTACAATGTGTTGCTAAATTAAAACATGTGGTGCACAATGAGACCTTGTCACATTCATTTTTGTATGTGTTTTATAATAGAACAAAATTTTAAATCGACGTTACTACTGAATCTGTTCTTTAAGGTTGCCGTTCCATGAGAAAACAAAAAAAAATCGGTTAAATGGTCTTTCAGCCCTAAAAGATTAAAAACCACTAGTGTACATCGTCATGAATCAGCCCAGAACGTTTAATGTCTAAGAAATAATATCGATAGAATAAGTTTTACGTTACATCGAACTTCTATCGAGATCAATTTTAATCTAAATTCCCTCGAGCCGTTTCTTTTCATCGCATAAGCTGGCTTCAATTCACTGATTACGGTTCACATGATATTATATATTAAGAAAATATCAAGTTCAAAGCAAATTATCCGAATGATTTCGTAATTCTAATAACGTGTTTTCTAGTTCTAAGATACTATACGTAACGCAAATGACAAATATGTATTATTTTCCATTAAAAATATTTTTGTTATAGTGCCTAAAACTTTTTTATACATCGTATAACCACACTGCAGCTATATTATGTTTGTAGTTAGAATCGGGTTGACTCGACCGGAGTCTCTCACAGACTACCAGCGGTTCCGTATGGTGAGCGTAGCATAAACCCTTTCTAATGAACACGAGGCATTGCATCTTAGTCCTCAGGAGTTGTCAACTGCAGTCTTTATTTTTGTCGTTATTAGTAAGACGCTGAGCTGCTCATCTCCTGACTTTTTCATTTCTGCCGCCTCTTACGACACCCACGGTAATAAATACGGTAGCAAAAACATAGTGTATCGAGGAATTAAAGACCGGACCGGCTGGCCAGGCCTAGCGATTTTTTTTTCTTTTTGATTGCTGAGTTTGGTAGAATATAAGGATATAAAAATAAAAATACTATGTTTTTTTTTTCGTTTGTCTATTCATGGAGACAACCCAGTGGTCTCTATATTATCACTGCCCATTGCACAAAAATAATGTTGTTCGTATGTTGCCAATGTCTAGAAAATCATCTGTAATGCTGTTAAGGGTTAAACTGCATCATAGTAAATTATTCACTAATATAGTGAAACAATGCTTGAACCTAGAAAAATGTTAATTTTTATATTTTTGGGGATAATTATCGAAACAATGTGCTGCACAGAGCAGAATTTGAGATATTTTGCATATTATTTTGACATATTTGACATAATATTTTTCACATGATCTCTGTAGGTTTTTTTAAACTGCAGTAGCTGCATCGTTTCCTGGTGCCCTGGCATGGTGCCTTCTTATCAACTGGGCAGAGGTCATATGAGGATCACAAATTTTGATGGCATTTATCTCCGAAAACATCAATACTAAGACAAATAAAAATATAATAGAAATAAATACACTTATATATTTATTTAACCCTAGAGTAGTCGCGTGGTCTACATATGTAATCCACTCATACAAAATTACAAATTTTCAAAAATCGGATAGCGCCACTTATTTTATCCTTCGGGTACTTTAGGTTGAATAGTTGACGCACGCGCTCAGTTCGGCGCAAACGTCGGTTGCGCGTGGTTATGAAACAGGAGCAGCGCAAAGTCCGAGGTCTACGAGTGTATGCCGCGCGACCAATTACGTAAGTATTTTTGCTGGACTTGTTGCTTTTATTTTATGCGAGCATTACATTTAGATTTTAATGTAAAATTAGTCAGTTTACTTATTATTTATTGCATTATGTATATTAATGTTTTCGTTTATTTTTGTAGGTAAATTGTACAATAACATTTAGAAGAAAATTATGGATAGACAAGTTGCTCAGATTGAGGCATGGCTGGCTGAAGATGATAGCCGTGACGATCTTTATGACGATTTCTCAAGTTCAGATGAAGAAGACCATCTTGAGGAGCAGTTTTCTGACTCAGCATCAGAACAAGACGTCTCAGGTGAGGTTGAATCTGTCAGTTCAGCTTCTGAAAGTGAATCAGTTCAGAGCAGAAGACCTGGTGATATTTACCTTGGTGTGGATAACACTGTCTGGACAAAGACAGCGCCTCTGAATAGGGGAAGAACTAGGACCCATAATATTGTTTTTGTGCCTCCGGGTGCTAAAGGAATCGCACGTCAGAAAACTAGTCCTGCAGATTGTATGTCACTGTTTTTAGATGATAATATAATTGATCTCATTACAAAATACACTAATATAAAAATTGATTACATGAAGGCTAAATATGTGAGAGAAAGGGATAAATCGTGTGATAAATTATTTTATAATTATTTTGTACATAAATAAATAAAACTAGTAATCCTCCTAAAAATACTAAA